AGTCAATATCGAGCATCTCTACTAGCAAGTAAAAGTCATGGCTGCCTCTTGGGGAACCAGCCAAGCTACCCACAAACACTACCTAACGACCCCACCCCATCTCCCTTTTGCCCACGCAACCACTCAATCAGGTTGGGATCAGGAGGACCCCACCGCCACACCAAAGATGAGTGGAGTCATGTGGACCAGCAGGAGTTCTTGTTGGCCAACGGCACACTTACCCTTTGAAGAAGAGCTGGAGAACTGAAAACTGTTGACACAGCATCTGCCTCGACCTGTTGAAGTCCTCCCACCTGAAGTGTTGACTGCAGAGCAGTGTCCTGTCAGAGACAACAAAACCATCCCTTCTCAGTCCAACTTCCCACTGCCTCCTCCTCGCTGATTTTGGTAAACTTTGAAAACATGAAGACATTAGTCATTATTTTCACTCTTCTTTTCTTTATACACCTAAATTATCATACTTTTAGTGTGCATACGTTTATTTTGGAACACTAAAACTGTTTTTAAAAATGGTGTCCAAAAGAAACACTGAATCATAAATTATAGCAAAATATTCTGAAAGGCCTTGGATGGATCAACATTATCTCACAGAGCCCCACTGTTCATGTTTAGCATGATCTGTATTCCACAATATAACTACTGATTATCTTAATTATGGTCATAATACTGCCACAGGTTTTTGTTTTGATGCGACGGTTGTTGCACTATATTATTTGTCTATGTTATACCTAYATTACATGGAATAAAATATTTTAATAGCAATATGTTGTGAGATTAACAAGTTGTTTATTATACATTAACACATAGCAATGGCAGGGCCTCAAACCACRTTACGTTCAATCCAGTGACATACATAAAAAAATATATAGCAGAAAAACAGTCAAAATACTACAATAAATCTACAATATTATTAGTTTTTTATGGCTGCATTTGGATTTAGTCATCACATAATGTGGGTGGAAGCATATTACACTAACAGTGGCCCAAAAGTCATCAATAACTTCATAAACACAGCAACACACATGGACATGTAGTGTAATATTGTGACTTTTTATTCATAATACCATGACTTTATTAATGTAATTTAAAACAAATCTCATAGTCTGGCCCTAATAGCCACTCTGTAACAATTTTTTGGACAAGTAGAACTAATACATTTTACTAACACAAGCAGCTCCCTGGTCTTCAGAGAAGAAACTTGATMCAGACTTTGGTATTTTCAGATTAAATATGTGAAATATGTTGAAACTGAAAGTAAAACCCAGGGTTTTATGGTTCCTCCTGACCTTTTCCCGCCTCGTGACGCAGACGCAGCCTCTGTGGGGGCGGGGCAGACTGACGCAGCCTCTGTGGGGGCGGGGCAGACTGACGCAGCCTCTGAGGGGGCGGGGCAGACAGACTCAAAGGTCCGGGCTCATGGACTCTCAGCTCGGCGCGTCAGACTCGCAGCGGAACGATGTGGCTGCTGGATGTGTTCCTGCCGTTTGTCAGGCTGTATCTGTGCGGCTTYAAAGTCCTTGTTTACCAGATGTTTAACCGCTCCTTCACGCTGCCAGGTGAGGAAAGACTGTTTCTATAAATGTCTTCATGTCTGTCCAGTACGAGCGCTGACAAGTTCAGAAATCTTCCCTACCAGATTCCAATAGAGAAATCTAACATTTTAAAACGTGATATGTTTACAAAGTGTAACAGATTCAAAACAGCTGGTAGTAAAAATTATTGTTTTATAGGCTCCTCAGATCGGCTCGGCATTAGTATTGTAAAAAAATTAAGCTGGGTTCGGAGAGAATTTCTTAATTTTGCTCCCAGTAAAGCTCAGAAGTAGCGACGCTAAATTGGGTATATTTTGAACGAAGTTTGGCAACGCCATATTCACCTACATGGGTCAAATGTCATGGCCACATTACGGAAAAGCTGTGTAAAATTAGCTTCTTACCTGTTGTAAATAACTCTGTGGACAAACTGACACAAAACTAATCTTTTAAAAACAGTTGTTAAAGCAGTAGACCATTTGTTGTTATAAATATTTACAAATGTGACCAAGCATTTGTAAACACGGGTTTTTGATGGAAAAGACATTACAATTGAACAAATTCAGTAAATTTACACTGGTATACAGACCCAATGTATTTGCTTTAACTGAGTTGTGTTAAACTCACCTTTAGGATCAAAGATGACATTTTTCACAAATATCTGACTTAAGAGGTGTTAATAAAAATATATTTGAAACCTTTCGTCTGGAGCTGTTAAATAAAATTACTACTAGTTTAGGACGATGGATAAATTTTAATGAAGAACCGTTATAATATTTTTATAGTGTTTAAAACCTGCAGATTAAAGTTCTCTTTTTTGTTTATTATTCTTAGCAGCTACATTAATATGTTTGAGACTCTTGTTTTGAAGGACTGAAGGAAGTTCTGTTGTTGTGATTGACGTGGGAGTAACTTGTGTTTTTTTGTGTTTTAGCCAGTAAAGATGCACCAATAATCCTTCATAATTAAAATGGTATAAATTAAAAAAGTCTCTCCTCCGAGGCTGTCCAAAAAAAGTGAAGTTAAATTTTTTTTTATTTATACACTTGGATTACTAAGATTCATCAGGACAAAATGCTGTAAAGATTGGGGTACATTTTAGCTTTTTTGATGTTATACTTAAAATGCAATTTTAAAACCTTGTTATAATCTAACCTTAAATATTGTTTTTCAGAACAGAATTTCTCTTCATTAGTTCTGATACTTGTTTGTCTGATCAACTGAGAATGTGTTTGAAAAATTACAAATATTATTTTACAATTTGAAACCTTACCATGGCGTGCTCTGACCGTTCAGTTAAAAAATGTCATTTTCCCAGGGCCGTTTGGAATTGAAGCATGAAATGTGATTGGAAGCCAACGTGAGAGCTGTTGAAAGGATCATTTTTAAATATTCTCTCCTCTTGCCTWAACAAATCACATATGTTACGTTTAATAAGCTCATTTCAGCTTCAGAGAGAAACAAAAAGACGACTGTTCTGCTCGAGGGAGATTAGAGGTTTGTACTCTTACAATCTTCCAAAGAATGTTGGCTGTTTGATGCTAACTGGGGAATATTTTAGATCTTTCACCACCGTCGCAAAACAAATACACCGACTAATGCATTACCAACACAMAATCATGTTTAATTAAAATAATTAGACTTGTTTTGGAAACACGTGTGTCTTTATAGAAGACCTCCTTGCTGACAATCACAACATAAATCAACCATGTGCCTGCAGAGCTCAGAGACTGGATTTGGTCCAAGATCTGCAGAGGTCAATGAAAAACTGGTCCTGAGAGTTCAGAGGACRCCATAATTCATGGATAGAACATCTCTGACCACATCGAGCCACAAAAGGGGAAGGGCCTCAGTGAGAGAGTTGATGTGTGGAGAGGGGAGAATGTTCCAGAACAAAACTCCAGTGAGGACAGAACTCCTCTAATTCACTTGGAAGTTTCTTAAATTGATCTCTGACTAGTTGTAACATTAGACATTACTTGAYAAACTTATTGTAAAACTACTGTAGGTTGTTTAGTTTTTATAAGTTTAAAAATACGTTATCCATTATGCCAAAAAGCATTTTGGGTAAATGATGTAAACTGGCTACTCCAGTGTGAGTGGCCTTGAGGGTTATTTTTGTTTTGAATGAAACCAGAGCTCGTTGACAGAGAGGAGAATGTAGAAAAGACTCAGCCKGACACTGAAAATAATGATGGAGACAACAGAGCTGCTGCATGGAAGGAGAACCTCAGATTTAGCCTGTTAGCTTTACTGTTAGCTCCATGTTAAAATATCTGGAGATATAGTGTTGAGCCAATGCCATAATGCAATATATATATAATGCCATATATTTATAAGTAATAAGTATGAGGCATTTTATTTTTGAGCTAATATTAATAATATTAGCTCTAGAGCTAATGCCACATATTAGTAATAATTTATATATACGGCGTTAACGCCAGAGCTACTTTACTAAACATCATATTTGATAATTTCAACCCATAGATTATGCAGACCACGTCATGCCACCAACATGAACTGAATCATGTTTCCTCTCTTTCTCTACAGTCTTACCCAAACAATGTGGAAGGTTTGCCATAGTGACCGGTGGGACCAGAGGGATGGGTTTCGAGACAGCAAAACACCTGGCGAGTCTTGGCATGCATGTTATAATAGGTAGGTTTCTGCCCAGACTGTGGTTTTACACGGTTCTTAGTGTTTCTTCATTTTTCACCAGAATAAAAGATGAACAGTCGCTGCGTTTCCATTGACCATGAAAATGCGCAAATTAGAATTTCGAAAATAAATTTGCTCAATGRAAACACGTCAATTAAAAAAAAATTCCTGTTTTCGACAAAACGTTTTTGTGCTAGGATGAGGTGGCTTTTCGGCCAGATCGAAATTGGTATGTTTCGCAAAACTGCAATGGAAACACTTTTTCGCATCACGGGAGTCACGTGATCAACAACCGGCTGTTTCTACTGGCGAAAAAGACGAAGAAGACAACAGGAAGTAGAAGTAGCAGTAAAATCACCGACGTTGTAAAAGAAAGTAGTAAACTCACCGACTACAATTTCCCAAAAACGCAGCATACGTAGCCGCTCTCAAGAATAAGGGGCTTGTTGCTCGTAAGCCTTGATAAGACGCCGACGTCTCCTCTGATGATGAGCGCTAGTGCCATGGTAGTAATATGCTATGTGTTAACATCTATTGCCGCCATCTTTGTAATGCCTTATTGTGAGAACAAACATATTCACTCATGACTTTAATAGCAACACTACAGTTGCAAAACAGTGTTTTTCGACATTAACAGAACATCGACAAAGTTTTGCGCAGATTTGCAATGGAAACAGCTATAGACGAGTGGGTGCAAGGTTTAGCTGTAAATCTATGCCCCTCTTTTTGATGTAGTGTTTGTAACTCTTTCCCAGTAAAGATATGGTGAAATCAAGATTTGAGATCTTTTGCAAGTTTTTTGTCAGCTATATTACCATAGAAGCAGCTTTGCCAGAAAAAAGCACCACAGTAGTTGAATGGATTCCTTTTGTTTTGTGGTAGTAATGACCAGTGGTGGGTGTGGTTCCGCTAATCAGCTAACACTAAATGCTAACAAATATTGCATTTAGTGGATTTCCTTTTCCACTAACTTTGAAAATCATCAGCTGCAATTAGCTTCTGCTAAATTAGGTTCTGCCAACGTTAACTTTGCTAACAGATAAGTAACAAGCTAAAATAGACTGAGTGACAGTCGTCTTAGTGGTTAGCACTTATCTGTTAACGTTAACTTCCACTAATTTTTTGTAACATGTTTAGTGGTTTAGCACAGACTTTTGTGACTCAGACAGTGGCTGTGTCCAAATTCAGAGCCTGGGTCCTCCGGAGGCCGTATTTGTCCGACGCTCACAGTGTCGCGCCGGAGGCTGTCCAAATTCAAAGACTCCTCCGATGCGGCCGACAAATGCGTGTACATCTTTTGCCCCAGTTTGAGGGACGAGTCCGATGGATCAATACTTCTCGGCCCAACATATTCCATAATGCATTGCAGGCAGGGCAGAAATTGTTTTTTTTCTGCCTGTAATGGTGGACGAAGTGAGAGAAAGGAGTACAATTTTTAAATAAAAATCAGGTGGTAAAATGCTTTTGTCTTTTTTATTGGTATGATTTTAAATATTATTCTTGTCAGGAAAAAAAATGAGCTGGTGTAGCGAAATAAACAGGCACCTACAGCGAGTCCGTTAGTCCTTTAAATGTTGACTTTAAAGGGATCCCCGATTAGTTGTAACATTAGAATTTATATGATAAACATATACTTTAACTGTAAAATAAAGACTGTAAAAATACTGTAGGATGTTCAGTTTTTATCATTTTTAAACTAAAGTTTAAAAATATATTACATGGACGGGGCCATTTTATTTACACACAAAGCATTCTGGGTAAATGATGACATCAACTAGGTCATCGGTGCGAGGCTGTTAGCGAGCTACAGTGTATCCACCCTGAAGGTTAATCTTGGATAATATCTGATGATCG